AAATATTTTATTAATAAATTAAAGAAAAAATTATATGTAAAAATAGCTAAAATGGTCATCTACAGTAACTTCAGCCAATACAGCCAGAAAAGTAACTCCAACCTTACTTTTTCGGCTTATTACACAATTCAGCGCGCGAAAGTAAAAGTTACGTGTTTGGTGAAAAAGCTGACTGATAAGCCTGATAAGCCGTAAACAGAGTTCTCCAAACGGGCTCTAAAAGAGATGACTCGTAAGTCGTGACTTCATAAAAAGGGCTTTTCCATTGTTCTCTATTTACGCAAGATAAAAAAACATTAGTTTGATGCGCTTGAATTTTGTACGTATTATGACAAATATGTTCATTGCAAAGAAATAATCAATTATTTAGTGCTTAAATTATAAATGTAGTCATTTCAATTTTATTTAAGTATTTAATTATTTAGTTATTTTGCGATGAATTTTGTTTGTTTGTTTAGTTATGGAAACTCGTCACAGTTTTTTTTTATCAATTTAATGTATTGTTGACAAATCTAGAGCCATTTGACCATAAATTGGTTTCACCATATTTATTCTTATTTTTAAGGGAAATGCATTTTTATTTGAATCAAAATCTATTTTTTTTATTTGAACCAAATTAAATTTATATAGATGCATGCACACACACATATGTAAATTTTCGTTCAAATGAAAAGAAATCATAATGTGAAAAATAAGAATATTTTTTGTGTATTGGATTTGACTCTGTAACCGATCAAATTACTATGAGCATGCAATGGATAGCTAGACTTCCTCAATTTTTAATTAAAGAAATTGAAAAAAATACTTAACACCTCTTTGAATAACTTCTTGAATAAGAAACGTGTTGATCTAGGAGTCATTAAGAATACAAATCTACATGTCAATCTTTCTGTGAATGTCTATACAGGTAATTAGTATTTTGAAGCTTTTGACAGTTAGGATGTTTTCTTTTGGACTGTTTTCAGTCCCAGACCAGACCAGACCAGACTTAAACAGACCAGATCAGACCAGACTTAAACAGACCAAACCAGACCCGACCAGACTTAAACAGACCAGACCAGACCAGACCAGACCAGACTTCCGTAGTTATAAAATACATAGAGACCAGACGTTTACCAGACCAGACCAGACCAGTTCAGACCAGACCAGACCAGACTTAAACAGATCAGACCAGACCAGACCAGACTTAAACAGACCAGACAAGACCAGACCAGCAAATTTCAGTTCAAAAGAAAACATCTTTAGAGTGCCTACAACGAGCAGGGATTTACACTTGAACGATTTCCTCGGCTATTCCTCTAATAGCGGGAAGATGTCACATATCTCATTGATGGGGTCTATGAGGCCGTGACAAAAATCGTGATATTTGTAATGTATTAACTCAATTTAAAACAATTTGTTACTACGTATAAGAGAAAAAAATTTGCCTACACAAAATCTGAACACTCAAATTAATTTTTACAAGACAAAAACAGTGGTTGCTTATTTGAGTACTAAATTCTCAGGGTTATAATGATGGTTGAATTTTTCTTTATTTGGTTTGGCTTGTTTTTGTTTCTGTTTTGCAGTTTTCTTTTCTTTTTCTTCCATCTATCACTCTTTTAATTTTCTCTAATCCATCATTAATAAAAATTAGAGAGTATGTTTTCCCCAAAAAAACAAAACAAAAAATATGCATGTGCTTAAAAGTAGAAGTCCAAGATTAAAGAATAAAAAGAACATGTAATATGAAAAGTATGCAATGATGAGTGGTTTAACGTGCCCTAAACAGTACTCCATGTCATTTTTACTTTTGTCTCTAAATTTTTCAAAGCTGGGTATATACTTCGCCCATAACAAATGGTTTAACTCGGAGTAACTTGTAACGTTTTAGCCTTTTAGGATGTTTTTAATTGGACTGTAATTTGCCCTAGACCAGACCAGTCCAGACCAGACCAGACCAGACTTGGATAGTTATAAAAGTACAAAGAAACCAGACATTACCAGACCAGACCAGACCAGTTCAGACCAGACCAGACTAGATCAGACCAGACCAGACCAGCAAATTACAGTCCAAGTAAAAACATCCTTAGTTAAAGTAAATTATTAGCGTGTTCACTATATTCTTCTCCGTATACCAAAGACAAATTCAATATGAAAGTCAATGTAAATTCTAACAAAGCTCGACTACTGAAATTAGATGATTTGGGAACAAGAAAAGTTTTGAAGAATGATGTGAAATTTTTCCAAAACCGTATATTTATCACTTTTATTTATATTTATATAATGATATTCGAATTCTACAATCATTTTTAAGAAATATAATATTGACTGGTAATGGAACCGGGAGTTGAAGAAATCTAGAGGGAAGTTGGAACAATTCGACAATGAGAAAGTCATAACTAATTTGGTAGAATAACATTGTACGTAGCATAAAATTCTAGATCCCTTTCCTAAACGAGGAAGGTGCTACTCCATTCTATAGGTAAAAGTATAATGCTTGGACTTTAATACTTCCCCCGTTTCTTAAAACTTGCAACATTAGAATTTTTGCGCTATTCACACATCTTACTTTGACAATAACTTTCTATAAATATATAGGGAAAACTGTCGTATAGGTCTTCGAACTTTCATAAAAATGTCAAATAAGTCCTTATATAGAAGGTTCTGTCCGGCCGATTTGGGGCGGTTCCCGGTCGAATTTTTTGATGAAATTTTTTTAGCATCTTATTCATTAAGTCCTGTTTACTCATACCAAATTTCAGCTAAAACTTAAACCGGGAACGCATTCAAATTAATTCTTGAAGATCACTACGCATTTAACTGCACAGTTATCATCGTCTTCTTCTTCATTGGCAGCTCTCTCTCAATCATTGGGGTTTACGGCCATGAATGTCACCAATATTGTTACTACCAAATTAAATGCCGTAGAAGATTATTTACCTTTGCGTACACAGTTTGAATCCTTTTTAGTGTCACACAGTGTGCTTGGTATTTTGGATGACACAATTTCCACACCGTCCATGTATGTTACGAAAATTCAAAATTGCCAAGTTATGAATTCCGAGTACTGTCATTGGCTAAAGTTGGATCAAACTATGCGTTCACGATTATTTGCTACGTTGTCTCGAGATGTTCTGGTAGTGGTGCATGATATCAAACATTCTAAATTTATTTGGGACCGTCTTGAATCTCGATTTATGTCTGCTAGCTTAGCACGTTCCATGAAACTTAAAAACATGCTTAGTTCTTTACGTAAAAAGGAATCCCAATCTATGGAACAATACTTATGAGATATCAAGAATGTTACTGATGCTTTAGCTGCTATTAATTCTTCTGTCCCCATGAAAGATATGCTTGAGCGCACCCTCATAGGGTTAGGTCCTGATTATCAGTCTGTTATGACTCCCCTTACTTTATTCCCGGAGGGCCTTACTTTTGACTCACTTTGCACTAAGTTGGTACATCAAGAATAGTGGCTTCTCTATAAGCGACGTCAGGAGCAGACTCTTGGGTGATCTCCAGCCTTTGCCGCGCCTCAACCCCCGCGCGGTGCTCCTCCAGCAGCAGTTGTCCGATAATGTTTCTGCATCGTATTTATCAGCTAATCTCATTCATCATGCTCACAGTAAACATATAAATATTGATTATTATTTTGTTCGTGAACGGGTAGCTCATGGTGATTTGATAGTTCGGTATGTTCCTACTCTGCTCCAGTCGGCAGATATCTTCACCAAGTGCTTGTCTTCACAACGGTTTACTTTTTTCGTGACAATCTGCGCATTGTTTCCCCTGCACAGTTTGAGGGAGTGTAATAATGTATTTATTAATATTAATTAGGTTGTCTAATTATGGTAGGCATTCTTATGTATCTTGAACTCTTTTATTATAAATATCAGTCCAGGACTACCAGTCTGGTAAGCCTCCATATTATTCTCACAGTGTTGTGGTAACTTAAATTTAAAACTTGAAAACTATTATTTTGTTACTATTTTGGTCATATGTAATTGGTATGAAAGACATTCATCCGCTCTTCGATATACTTTTCCCCATGGTCGTTATTATTGTGAATGGATTGAGGATCTTTTGTTAGTTGCTTCAAGGATGGGGGTAATGAATCAAGCTTGTATGCTTCATCACACTAATAAATTATTTTTTAAAATTATCATATTCCGGCTTATGGAAGGGCATTTATAATTTATAGAATAATATACATGCCAAGGATTCATGGAGTATACGAGATGGCATCAAACATTTACGTTATCAATGTAGCTACTCGACATTTGGTAATATCAAATGTCACTTCTAATGGCTTATACGTATTTACATTCTAGCCACAAAAGTTTTCATATTATTATATTACAAAAAATCAATAACAAATATTTTAAAACATTAGAAGTTCGTTGTGTAATCTTTTCTTAATTGCCTATCAATCAACTATTTAACCAAAAGCTACATTTTTCAAGTTTATGCATTAAATTATGTTGCAATCGAAATAAATAAAAATAACATTATTGTTTTGATTAATTTTACTTAAGAAAACTATGTGAGTTTTTCCATACATTTTTCTATTTTATTAATAAAGTATAGTTTAAACATTTTATTGAAAAAAATAAATTAAATCGTTGTAGATATAACAACTTCGAACAAATTCAATAATTTTGATATATTCATTCAATTACATTTCAATGTTAATTATCAAATTTTAAGTCAAATACATTATGGTGTGATGACATCATTTTGACATTTTTAAAAAGAGATCAAATGCGTAATATAAACATTTAAGTTAACATAAAATAGATACTACTATGTATAATGATAAATAATTAGAATTGCATAAAGTATCACACTTTAATAGAGCTGAAAATTTTTCTGGTATAAATGTATAATGGTATAATTGAGTATTATTCCATTCCATTTCATACTCCGTATATAGAAGAAAAAAAGTTTTCAATAATTCATTCATTTATTTGTTTTGTTTTTTTGCTATGGCGACTCTATAATTCCCAAACATGAACCATGGGCTGTTTTCTAACCACTCCATCAATATTGCATATAAAACACCTCTGCAACACTGACCATTTGGACTTGGAGAAACCACCAAAAATCCCATCTTTCATAAAAACTCTTCCAAGGAGAACCAATAATCCCTCCCTCTTCTTAGCCACCATGTTGCTAGGCAAAAAGCTGAACCCGATGATCGGAAAATTCGCCGGCGTACCGGTTTCCGGCACTGCCAATGATGGTTCAACCAGCCCAAGAAGTCCTCTGGACCGGAAGGTTCAATCAGCAAGATGCCCAAAAAGTTACGATCTTGGCGGGGTTGGACTGGCTATAGTAGCTGCCCTTGAACAATCCGGTGAAATTCCGGCCGGTATGGTGGTGTACAGCCGGAAATCGAAACGGTCCGTCCCAATTCCGGTGAACCCAGGTCGGATTCCGGCGAGGGTCGTCTCTGAACCCAGCAGCCTGGAAGAAGAGTACACCATAGTCACCTGCCGGCGCGGCGCCGACAACCAGACGTACACCAGAGTCTACTGCGACAACGGCGAGGTCTCCAGTTACAGAATCCCGGCGAGAAGTCATCGACCGAGCGTCTTCACCATTTCTCCGGCGAGATTTGCAGATACTCCGGCATGCCCAAACTCAGATTTCCTCAATTCATGCCATTTATGCCACAAAAAGCTCACCGGCAAAGATATATACATGTACAGGTACTTAATTACAAAACCCAGAGTTTAATCGAATCCCAAATTACTTGAAATCTCAAATTGTGTTAGAAAAAATGCTAAATTTGATCATTTTGGCAGGGGAGAAAAGGGTTTTTGCAGCACGGAATGTAGATATCGGCAGATAGTGATGGATGAGCGCAAAGAAAATTGCAGCTTGGAGATTTCTGGGTCGCCGTACAAAAATGATCAGCTGTTTTCGACCGGAATTCTGGCCGTCTGATGATCGGAATTGCTCCGGCTACTTTTTTTTAATTAATTTTTTTGGGGGATTATGTAATATTGTTATAAATTAATGTTATTATAGAGATGTAAATGGGGGTGATGGGTATATAAAGTATAACTTCGGAATACTTCTATACACGCCTGAGAAATGCGATGATAAGGGATCTTCTTTTCTTTAAATGTTCTAATGTAATGAAATTTTTGACATTTTTGTCCACTTTTTCTTGCATAATTGCTTCATTTTCTTCAACCAAACACGTTCTTCAGATGTTAATATTGCGTTAATTCCAAAATTAATTTCATTTTTTCCAAAAAATCCATCCGATGAGTTATAATTACAATCAAATACAATTATCTTTTGTATAATTTCTTAAATATTCAGACAAAAAATCAATGATGGAACTTAGATGGAGTATTACTTTTGCGGTCCACTCAGAGAATTTGGGGCGTGTTTGGGAATAGAAACTTTATCATCTTTTCTGAGTTTTTTTCCCAAGAATGTGAAAAGGGGAAAGAGGGTAATTATGGGGAGTGGAATTGGAGAATGGAGATTTTTTTTTTCGGAATGAATTTAGCTTTTTTTTCTTTCTTTCTTTTTCGTCGTGAAATAAAGAGTGGAAGTGACCAATATTCTTTGGCAGTTATCCTTTTTGGACCAACTTCTCCAACATCATCCCCCAAGTGCGAAAATAAAGCAAGTTGAAAACAACCACTCGTCACGAATTATTATGACTAGAAATAGAAATGTGTACTTTTAATGGGATAGGAAGGGGAACCACTTTCTCTTTTATTTAGACTTTTGTGCAAATTATGCGCAAAAATGAATATGACTTATGAGAAATATTATTTACTCGTATATTTTTACACCCCTCCATGCCTCTATAGTCTTATACGGAATATCATAAAATTTGATCAACATTTTTAGAGCTCATTTGGTAAAATTGAAATTTGTTAAATTGAATAAATGTATTAAATTGATGAAACTTTGATTTACTTGAAAAATGTTAATTTATGTGCTCCACATCCAGCACCTTGGTTCAGTCCTTGCACCTTGGTTTATAGTCCTTGCTCCTAGAGCAAAGAGATTAAGAAATTTTCATTTTATACACATGAATACACATTTTTGTACATGATCTCTCTTTTGTCTGTGTGTATACATACCATTCGGTAAAAACAAAAAAAATTATTTTTTTAGAATTGTCTGTTTGATGTGTAAATGTGAGTTTACACATTGTTTGTGAATATTGGCCCAATTCTTTAGTAAAATGCAAAAATTTCTATTTTTTATAGAATTTGTCGGTTTGATGTCTAAAAGTGAGTTGGATGCGTGTATATGAAGAATTATTGTTAAAAACTGTACTTTTGTTTCCAATGGGAAATTTTATGGGACTCTTATGAAATTATATGACATATGTGAATGCATCATTATTATTCATTTTTAAACTGAAAGTAAAAATAAATGAAGTGTGTGAGATACTATACATTTTTGCATTTCAATCCAAGTCAACATCAGCAAAAAATGAAAACTTTCAATTTTCTTTTACAATTACTACTTATGATTTATGAACCATTTAAATCTACACATACACTATACTTATTGATTATAAAAAAAAAAGGCAGATGAGGACCATACATTGATAGAGGGGTCCAACGTGGGCCACAACCAACCCCACGGATGACAAATACAAATATAGTTTATGTCTACATTTTTTACTATATAATTAAATGAATGTATTATTTTAGATAAGAATCTAGATCAGCAAAAGAAGGAAAATTGCTTCTATCTTAAAGGTAGGTGAAACAACCAATATTGATAATGACCTTAATACTTTTTAATTTTTGAAGATTTGACCGGTTTTAACAGTGACTTAGTCAACCATCCAAACATGGAATAGGATTTTAAAACGTTTTTTAGTACGGAAAAGAAAAGAAAGTGAAAAAGTTGAGCACTTCTTCTATTAGGAAATACAGTAGAAAAAGTTGGGTGCAACAATTTTTTATCTTCCCGCATGTACGAAGAAACTTCAGAAAAAAGAAGCTTAATCATTTATTAGTATACACTTTTATCTCATTAAGGTTGTTTTAGTCTAGTTAAAAATCATTTTTTCTCAACTTTTTCTCCCACCCTTATCTCCATGCACGAGTCTTTGTCAAATACGTGTATCTTTCTCAGTTTCATAGTTTTGCATTCTTAATTACTCCGTATAATAATTCCATGTTGTATTTCAAAAAAAAAACATGTCGTAAATGTTTAACTTTAATATGTACTACTTTCGTTTTTTTTAATTGCGATGTTTTGTTTCACATTTTGTGGATTATCAATATTATTTTTATTAATACGATCAAAACATATTATTTTTATTAATAAAATATTAAATATCCGAGATTATGCAGATTTAAAATCAGAAATGAATTTTACTTGTAATTTTCAAAAATTAAATGTATTATTAGAAGTTGCACGTAAATAGTGTAAAATTCTACATTGTGTCTATCAAATATTGAAATAGTATTACATATCATCTATTACCATCCAATGGTAATAGCATTATGAGAATATACAAACGAAATCAAGCACTCCAGTCCGCTGGGTGCAACGTTACCTTGCCTAGCGTTTGGTCTTGGGTTCCAAACCCGCTAGGCACTTAGGGGAATTCAGAGGATGGAGATGTTGCTCCCAATGATTCTTCCTACTTTCACAGAGTTGCTCAGTGGCTAAGAAGGGAGATGATGGTAATGAAGGTAGCGGGTTCGTGTAAGTCCTGAAAAAACAGGTGATGTAAGTCCTGCTGGATTCGTCCTTTAGGAGCCAGTATTGACGAGGCTGACTGTGATCAGATCCGGACTTAACTGTCTAGAGGCTTTGGAGGGTAGTTCATAGACTCCAGGATTATGAGAGCTCAAGCCCCGACACATGGATTGTCCAAAAAAAAGAACAAAAAAAATACAAACGATGTAAAATAGTACTCCGTATCTTATACTCTCCAATGACAAGCAATGAGTTTTAGACCGAAATTTTTTTTGGTGCGAACAAGAAACAGAGACATCAATAGTGAAATTAAAGGATGACATCACCGAGTAAAGGTCATGGGTGAAGCTTGGGGTTAAAAGTTGGAACTGTTCTGGATTCAAGGTCACGTGCGATTGGTGGCAAAAGTGAAGGCTTAACAGAAAACGTGATAAATAAGAGGCAGAGTGAGGAAGAAGCTACAGTATTGTCGGCTCGTCCTTCTCCTAAACCGCCGCCGGAGTATCAGAAACAGATAGGAGGTTCCAGATTGTGGTTGGAAGTGGTGCTCTGGAAGGAGCAAGAGTTTTATTTTATGAAAAATTGAAAATAATAATCCCAACTATTGCTGATTATTTTTTGTATAATCCCAACTATATGGACCATCCGCTAATAATGGTCCATCATCAGATATTACCTCCTATAAAAAGTGATTTTTAAATAGTAATTAAGCGTAAAATTAAAAGTTGAGATTATTTATAGGGATTACTTGTTATATCTCTTCTCATCCGCTTTAGATACTACAAGAATTTATTTATAGGGACCATTATTGGCGGAAGGTCCCTAAAGTTGGGATTATTCTGAAATAATCGATAGTTGGGATTATTATGGGCGGACCATCAATAGTTGGGATTATTACTATCAATTTTTCCTTTATTTTATTGTCCTTTTTCTTTTAAATTGCTTTGATCTTACTGTTTGCTTTCTCTTTTGGATTGTTTTTTGCTGTAAGATTGTGGATTTGGACGTGGGTGATGAAAGGATTGCGGTAACTGTCTCTGGCTCAGTTGCGCCCATTAATGGATCAACGAGTTATATTGCTTTTGTCGAGGTGATAAACTCTGAGTCTGGTTCGAGGGTCGGCGGTTGTCAGAAATCTTTTTGTTGGTTTCCCTGCTATCTGAATGACGTGTTATCAATTCAAGCTTATTTCTTCCAAAAAAATCATTTGTATGGTAAGCATTGTGTATCAATCATATTGTTGAAACTCAAAAGATACTCTTATGAAATTCTTTAGTACTTCCTTATTCTTAGTGTCTGAAAATATCTTACAATATAAAAACATAGTTAAAGATACTCTTATGAAATTCTTTAGTACTTGTTTGTTCTTAGTGTCTGAAAATATCTTACAATATAAAAACATAGTTTAGTTTGGTATAAATAAATTATTGTGACCTTTTATTGTTAAAAGTTACAAACTTTCTTTTAAAAACTGGTTGGACAAAAAGAGACCATTAAATATTAAATGTATTTAAATACCTTTTTACAAAGTACTATCTGCGTATCTTCCATTTCTCCCGACCAGTGGGAGTTGGCCTTCTCTGCCGTCGCCTATGTAGTTGCCCGCCGATACCCCTCTTATCTTCTTCTTCCCCTTTCTTGCCAAACCAAAGTCTAAAAAAATTCGGATCGCGATTCAGTCCTAAAATTGTAAACCGAGACCATGAATCGCTCTAGACCGGACTACTCCGGTCTCAGGCCCGAAACTGCTCTAACCGGACCTAGTCCACTCCCAGACAGTGCTAGACCGATTCCATATCAAGCTAGTCTGCTAAGCTAGGTCCATCAGTCCATGCCTAGGCGAGGGTAGTGGGGCAGGATCGGGATTGGTGGAGGAGAGGCAGGGCCGACAGTGTTGCTCACTACCACATTCAAGGTGCCACCAGTGGTGACAGTGGGTGATTCATGATTTTACATGGCACTGATCAGTAATGGTGGAGTGCTTTAGCTTTAACAGAGTTAGTCACTAGCACGTTCACGAGAACGGAACGTTGTCGGCCTTTAATTTTTTTTGATCGACTTCATAATAGGGATGAACTGGGCCCTGGCGGCCCAACCTAGGCCCGATTTTCCGGATTAGTACCAACCCAGGACCAGTACTGTTGGTACCGATTAAGAACAGGACCGATCCGGTACCCGGATCGATGATTATGAGGGGCGGGCTTCGGCCTTGATTCTTTTGACCTGATCCAAGCCTAACGACTATTTTCTTTAAATATATATATATATATATATTTTAATGGGCGAGTACCGACTCATGCCTGACCCAGAGATGACACTGTATGAGCGCGGACCGGAATCGGTACCTGAGCATATCGAACGGATACCAAGCTTCACTTTTCTAGAACCTATCACATGGGCTCGACCCGAATCCATCCCTACTTCATACTAATCTAACCTCCTTCATGCTTCAACTCCCGCCTGTCTGTGCCTCACACACTCCTTTTTCACACTCCAATGCCAAC